GTCACGTTGATCCACACTTGTGTAGAAATATTGTCATGAAACATATTCTCGGTTCAGAATCCTCAAGGTTCATTGATCCAGTCTGTGCCCATCCTGTTCATCCAACAGGACTGTGTAGCTACTGTATATGTTCTGGATTTTGAAGTCATCCTTTGATGCTTCTCCTACTTTCCTTTTCGTTCACACCCAATTTTCAACCCCAGGCCTTTTTAGAAATTTGGTGTTGTGCATGATTGTATGTGTTCAAGTCACTGAATCAATACATCAGCATCCACACAGCGTTGGACCTCCCTGTCAAACAAAGTGCCTCTCTCCCACTCTTTTCCCCCTCTCTCTCTCTCTCTCTCTCTCTCTCTCTCTCTCTTGCATTTCCAATCTTTCCCCACATGCAGTTCGCTTCAATGCCCTCTTCTTCTCTTCACCAACCGACTCAAACAGGCGCTTTGGACTTTCACATTCATGCATGTCTGTGAATGCAATTTGAGCCGCGCAAACAATAGCGCTGCACACGGCCGGGTTAAACCGGTGGAACAAGGGTCTGAGAGGATATTATCTGCATCGGTTAAGGCTCCAGCAGATTGGCGCTCACTCTCTTGCTCACAGGCGCTGGTTAAAAGGGTGTAACTGGCAGCTCTGACAGAGAATATTATCTGCTTTGGTCAGGGCCCGGTGGCTTTGACATGCAGAGACACACACACACACATGGCGTCGCGCCACTAATGCGATGTGTTTTTTTCATTAGGACCCAGTCATTGGAGGCAATTATACGGGTCATCGTGGGTTTTAATGGAGGAATAATGGACTTGGAGGAAGGCAGGGAGAGATAGCGACAGTGAGGAGGGCAAAGAGAGAAAAGAGACTTTGATGAAGAGGAGAGGGGAGAGAGAATGGGCTGACATGAAGTGTCTGTCACACTGGTGCTGCATGACAATCCAGAACTCAACAAAGTGTGTGTGTGTGTGTGTGTGTGTGTGTGTGTGTGTGTGTGTGTGTGTGTGTGTGTGTGTGTGTGTGTGTTTCACAGAGGTTTGAATGGAAAACGACATAAATGACTGCCTAAAGGAAAATTATGACTTAAGTTAAATGTATACTTAATGTTATATGTATATAAAGCTTAGTATCGTCGGGTTTCCTGAAAATTCAGAGCTTTAACTGGCTCTCAACATGGCGACGTCTTAGCCGGCAGCTAGCAGCTAAAGGTGCTAACAGCACAAACAGGGCAACTTTTTGAATTCAGCAACCAAAAACTTAACACTGATTTCAACAAAATGATTGCAGAAAAGCTCAATTAAAAAATGCAATTTGTGGTACAGGCGCTATGCTGTTGTGTTTATGGAGTTATTAGTAATATGTTATTTATCATTTCATGAATTATATAAGCAAAGCTGCATTTTTATATCGTTTTCTCTCCACTTTTAATCAGATCAGGGGTGAAAATATGGCATATTTACAGTGAATAAACGCTGAACTTACTACGTATTATTGTTATAATCGGTGAATGATCAGCAATGGACTGTTTTCAGATCAGCTAAGAAATGACCAGTGAAGACTTAATGTGATTGCTCTTATTGGCACAAGATGTGGCAGAAGAAGCCTCTTGTCTGTAGATTTCCTGAAGTGCTTCATATTTATGCGGGTTGTAAAACCGGAGCGCTTTTTGCTTAGTCACCTTTTTCTCAAAGCCGTTTAAATCATGACTTAGCATCTAAGTGATTGCTCAAAGAAGCTCCAGGCGCTCGGTGTAATTGATTTGTTTGGTGAATAAAGTGGAATGACTTCACTGAAACACACCTGGTCTGACAGAGGTTTAAATCATGACTAAGCATTTTGATTAAAACCAGATCACATAGAGTGGATGGTCCTCTGCTGCATTCATTGTATTAAGCAGGTTTAAATTTTCCTGCCACTGACCATGAACGCTGCATTTAAACGTCTCATCAGGAAACGCTGCTCCTCTGGGCTAACTGATGTCAGTATTGATTGACAATAAAGCAGAGTGTGTGTGTGTGTGTGTGTGTGTGTGTGTGTGTGTGTGTGTGCGTGTGTGTGTGCGTGTTTGTGGATGGAAATAGTATTGATTTTTTCATTAATGACTTAAACTGTATATTTAGAGGGAAGAGATCCCTGAAGAGAGATCATGCAATCAGCAGAAAGTTACTTGAGCTGAATCAAGTGTTTGCATGAGAGCTGTGTGTGTGTGTGTGTGTGTGTGTGTGTGTGTGTGTGTGTCCCATCTGTTTTGCAGCCTCTCCATCTCCTCCAGTCTCTCTGCTCTTGGCTATGATCTGTCTTCCGTCCCATCTGATGTTGCAGCATATCATTACAAAATCTACCAAACTGCGTTTCTTTGCTCTTTTCTTTCTCTGTCTCCGTCTTTCTCATGTCTTCCTCCTCCACTTCGTCCGCCGCAATGCTACGATCTGTGCCTGTTTTCTCTTCTTAATGTACGCAGCATCCAACCGTTTTTTGTCGTTATCGTGCTTTTGTCAGATGCAGACTAACTCTCGTCACCACTTCTGCTGCTCATATTGTGAGCGGCTGTGACACTTGCGAGTGGCTCTACGCTGCGCGACGTGACTGCATTGTTGGTTTAATTGCTGCTGCTGTCAGAGAGGTGTTACCTAGAGATGTAATTAGGCACAAACATTCCCCCGTGACGCCTGGATGGTTTAATATGTCTCGCAATCTGTTCTGTACCCACTGTAGACCGAGAGATGCATAGTGGCGTCAGTCTGTCGGTTGGTTCTCACAGACTGAAATGAGTGAAAATCAATGTAATGGATGAATCGTCGGGGGAATTTTATTCGGATGCTCGTGGTTCCATGAGGATATATCCGAATGACTTCTATGATCCCATGACTATTCCTGCACACTGGCAACAACTATAAAACTAGTATATTGGATCCATTATGAAGCTTTCATCGGTGTACTGATCAAGTCAAGTGAGAAACATATTGAAGCCTGTCGGGTACGCTCACAGACTGAATGGGGTTAAAATTGGACCAGCTATCCGTAAGTGTCAGAGTGTACGTGTGGCGCATCCATAAATATTTAAATCGGATGGATGGATTAAAAAAACATTTAAAATGCGTGGCCTTATCACATCCTCGCCTCTGTCCTCAGAGTCGTTTAAATAATGAATTCTACTCGATGAAGCTCTCAGGCTCACTTTATTGAAATGGGGAGCTCGAACCGTCCCTTTAATCCATTTACTTTGCAGAGAATGTTTGTCCCGGACGGACGCAGTGCTGCCGATGTAGGAAACATAGCCGACGTGCAGAAGACACTACGTTTACAAGGACGCATGAATGCACCGCGCCGCCAGACGTCTCACTTCAGTCCCCGCGGTCATCTGCATTACCTCACAGTGATTTACAATTTCAATGATTACCGTTCCACAAGTTCTAAGTTGATTTTGTATTGAAATAAAAGGAAACCAGCGGGGGCTGATGATACCGTGCGGAAGTATACAGTGGAAACTTTATGAAAGATGCATAAACACCAGCATGCTCCTTTTAATCTTCTGAAATCTGCACGCAGCACTAAAGCTATTTATTATGCAGCTAATGCAACATCAACCTGACCTCATGTTTCTGTAATTACATAATGTGATTCATTATATAAACTTGATTTTTTTTTCTTCCAAGTGGTACGGAGGCTGCAGGCCAAGTGTTTAATTTTGACTTCAGACTAATTACGTCTCAATAATTCTCAAAAAATATATCGAGTTAGCTCATTTCCAAATTGAGAGCTTTCCCAGCGTTGGAGCGGTGAGATGAGATGTTATGTAACAGCTCTGAGGGCGTTGTAGAGACGGAGGGAAAGCCAGTAGAGAGCACACAATGTTTATTGTTTGTTAATGTTTCAGTGGAGTGTTTTTGATCGGTTTCGAGGCACGCTCCACTCCCAAAAAGCACAGCCTTGCCAACTCTTGTGGCAACAGGGGATCTAATTAGCGAATTAGCAAACTTTATTGGTCTTTTTAGCTGGTTTTTTTTTGGAGTAAACTTTTCTGTACCCAGGCGTTTCACTGTGTGAATGTTAAGCAGGGTGTTTCCCCAGATAAATAAATATCCATAACGAGAACTCCGTGTGGCAGCTATATACTGTACTCGTGCTCTCTGCCGCGGGTGGCTTTGAGCTTCTTATTGTAGCTGCTTGTGATGGCGGCGTGGCTGCCCTGGGGGGGGGGTGTCGGCTGGACTCGGTTTCAGAGTTCATCAAACTAACTGGAAAAAAAGAGCCGAGGCGGGGGAGGGAATCAATATATGTTGTTTTGTAGAAGTCAAGACAAGAATAACGCTTTTTTCCAGCTTGATATGGGACACACATGAATGCACAGACTCCCTAATAGGACCAACTCAGCTTTAGGTTTTCTTTACTTTTGTTTTCTTTGAATAATGAATGAGCGGTGCGAACAATACCAAACAACAAAACTATTGATAGGGTTGCATTGGCAATTTGGTACAGCCGTAATTTCGTACGTTTGAGTGTCAGGCGGTCGACCGTAAGTGGGGTGAGAAACAACAAGCACGCTCGTGAGAAAAACGTTGAAGTAACAATAAAAGCGTCGCTTTGACTAAACCAAATGAAGGCTTCAGGTCTACTGTGATGGATGGTGTGTGAAGGCGGTTTATTGTTCTGAACAAGAATGGATGGCTGCAAAGGGATTCTTCTGAAGGGAGGAAAATGAGTTGCAAATGTAAGTCCGGTGTTTGTTTGAGCCGTCCATCCAGCCAAACCAGCTCCCTTTTCAGAATGCATCAGTCTGTACGTCGCCTGACTTGCTAACCGGCAGCCCTGCACGTCTTGGCTCTAGATTACGTGGGTTATATACAAATTAAGGAGCATTACTTTCTGTAGGTATAAGTCCAAAACAGTGAATGAGAACAGACCTGTAGATGTTAAGTGTGGCTGTGACTTAACAATACTGGACGCTAAACATTAGCTCACTAGCCTGCCACAACACCTCCGGATACATATTTTCTTTTTTGTTTCAGACTTTAAAAGCAAGACAGATGTCGAGCGCCTCGAGTTCGAAGACGGTCCGAACAACGCTCATGTGAATGCAACAAAACGCTGAGACAGCTCTTCCAAGGGGGCCTTTTTCCACATAAAGACACAGTCAGCATTCGACCAGGGTGAGTACATCAGGACGTAGCTTCTTCTTTTTAAAGTATACTAGCGTTCAGTGTTATGTGGCACCAACTGTCCCTGAGCAGGAAAACTGTACATGTACACACACATAGAGAGTGAGAGAAACACACAGTCACACACACACACACACACACACACACTCAAATTTCCTAATCATCCCCCTCCAGAGGACGCTTTATTTCCCCTCTCTTCCTCCGTCTTCTTCGCCTCTGTCTCCTCTCGGTCTCCCTCTGTATCCGGTGGTGTCTATTTAAAGAGGATTGCCTCACACACATAAACGCACACACACACACACACTCTTACTGTGCTTTATCTCTTTGCAGCGGCCCAGAACAGACAAACCAAACCAAACAGCCGTTCATGTTATTACGTTACCCGTTCAGTTCTCCGACACGCTTGTGAAACTGAAACACCTGACTTCCATTGCACCTTGTGTTATAATGCCTTGGTTGGCCTATTCGCGAGGCGAATGGCGTTGGATTTGCACTCGGCAGCTCACGTAACCGCAGTCTTGGAAAGGGTATTTAGTTGGTTGCAATCTACACCCTCACCACTAGAGGCCACCAAGTCCCTCACACAGTCCCTTTAAACCATGTCTGTACGTTTTTAACCTGTCTTTGCTTGACGAGGACACTTGTTATCTTCCTCTTTTATACAAGTTTTTAGCTTTATTGTGTATTTTTATCATCACCTATATTGTAATCATATGTCAGGTCTGGGTTTTGGCATTCTTTTTTTCTTTTTTATTGTCAAAGAAATCCATTTTTCTATCCACCCCACAACTCACCACAAACTTATCTAAAACCCTTATAACTTTAACCAAAAAAAAATTACTTTTAATATTCTCAAACAGCCCTCTGAAGCAGTCAGACTGGCCTAAAATGTCGTAGCTCTGCAGGTCTGACACCTTAAATTGGTCCTCACACACACACGCACGCATGCACGCACGCACGCACACACACATACATTCACAGACATGTGTTTGAGGGTGCGTTTAAGGGTTCACGGTTTTCACGGTATTCTGAGAATTCTCTCTTACGCTTACTCTCTGCTTCTAGCTCTCTGGCTTTCACGCGATGATGAGACATGATGTACCGGGTCCATCTGGCTGTGATGACTATGCTCTTGTATTGATTAAAAAAAACACACACACACACACACATGTTCTTGCTCAGGGAGGAGGAGAGAAAGGTCATGTCTCTCAAGTTAATTAGTCTCTGTAGCCCTCAGGTCTGGAGAAGCTTTCCTTTTCACTTCTTCTTGCCTCATGTCTTCCTCTATCTGTCTCTCTCTCCCTCCAGTCGGTATCTCTCTCTCTCCAGTTTATGCCACCAGAGCGTGAAGTTCAGATAACCTCTCTTTACATTTCTTTGCATGTGTTTGTGTCCTTCCGGAGTTTCCGAACCATACACAAACACACACACACTCACACACACAGACACAGACACAGACATATCTGTGATCCTAAAGCCAGAATCAATTTGTTTTGTCGGTGCGGCGGAGCTACTAAGTTTAATTACTTCTTCACTGTAGCTGACGGGGCAAAAAGTGTGTGTTTGGCCGGAGGGTTCAGCCATAATGAAGTGTAAATCTATCCGATAAAAAAGCCTGTGAGTCAGTGAACTACCCCGAGGGACAAACACACTACTTTGACACAGATTACCTCTGTATGAATGTATGAACTTGAAAAAAAACGTTCTAACTTGCTGCTGGTTAATTTCATATTCATTCCATGAGGGCTGAAATTAGATTCTTTGAATATCTCAACATGTTATTTGTCATTTGATATTTATTTAGTTGGCTGTTTGTTTTTCCTGCGAGTTTTATTTAAAAGGTTTTCGCACATGTCCTGTCACCCCTCTTTAAATCAGCAGCTTATAAACTTTACACACTTTAGCAGCTGTCTCAGGATTGTAGTCTACTTTACCTCAAATTATTACCAGATGATTTACTGTTTTTCTTTCCTGGAAAACTACAATGGAATTACAGGGAAGTAATGGGCTGTTTAACGCTGTTTTTCTCCCCAATGGAAAGGTCTGAATGCCCTTTCAAAGCTCCTTCCATGCTGCCAGGAATAGCATTTAAATGGAGTTTGACCAAATCATTTTTATGAATACTTTATTTGGCCTGAAATGAGTCACATTCGGAGTCTAAAAATAAGGCCAGATTCGGTCCACAACTTTCTGCGGGTTGTGGGATTCTCTGCAAATTTCCATAAAGTACCTCAAGACCTACAGTCATGATGTCATAGGATCTGCAGTTATATCAACAAGCTCCACTCAAGGTCCATATTTTTTTGATAATCACAATTAATGTAATGGATTCATGTGCTGCTCAGAGAGATCGATGTGAAGGACAATTAGGACTCTCTAGGGACCGCAGTCAATGTAAGTTACAATGTAGTATTGAAAGACGGCTTCGTGGAAAGAAGGATATCTGTCTGCAGCTTTGTGGGTACATGTACAGTATTTCTAAATATATTCGAGCATATGTTTAAGTTTGAATAAGTATATACAATAACTACAGAGTGCGAACAAATGTCAGTGCGACTAAACATTTCCTCGGTCGCACCGATGTATGTCGTAAGTGGTCGTGTTCTTTTTATTCCCGCCCTAGTTCAACGCCTTTAGCAAACTTCTTCATACAACCTGTGCAACCAGTCCACATAGACCCCGAGAGACCCCTTTTGGACGGCCCCTTCAAACCGAAAGGCAGCTGAAAAAGAAGTGGGGAAAGATAAAGAAGAGTAACGTACCACGCAGCAGCCATCTTTATTTGTGGAGTATGGAGTAAAGGTGTTCTCTAGTCAATTTAAACTGAATTGACGTGGGTGTATTTTTTACTTCAAACATTATATATTTGGTAGCAGAAGCAGAGGTACATGTTTGTAATTTATCCCACATGTTATTATCTGAGACTATCAAAGCCTCAGTCTTTTGTTGTCAGTGTCGCATCGCGATCTTGACCACAATGCACTTCACTTTCCTGTTGCCAGGTAACGGAGACCTTTTTCTATGTGTGTGAGCACAAACTTTTCAACTGTAACTTAAATATGAATGAAGTTATTTTTATCCTCCCTGTGCAGTACTTGTATTTGTGCTCTTTCTCTCTACGCCGCTCTAAAGCGGCAGCTTCACGGTCATAAAGAAGCCGATTCAATCAGTCAGCCGAGAGACTCTTCTCCTCTTCACTCACTCAGATTAGTTATTGTTTACAGCACTTTGAGATAGTTTATCTTATATAAATTGTGCCGACTCCTTTTAGAGCGGCATCTAAATCATAATGACTGAGACGTGACTCGTCCGTCCGAGTAATGCTTGTTAGTTATATATATGTATGTGTATATATGTATACATGTATTTATGTTTATGTATCTGTAAGTATATATGTAGGTATATATATATATATATACTGCATATGTGTGTATATTCTGACGCTGTCCATGGTGCTGATGTAGTCATTGGACCAGGTGTATTGTCTTCAGTGCTATGACAACTTTATTTACTAAATGTTGGTAAGAAAGCTCCGGTATCTGTCTGAATTTCCAGCCTTGCAGTAATACATTCATACTTTTTGCTTTGGCTGAATTTCTAAGTAAAGATAGCAGCAATTATTTGCCGTTATTCCAAGAAAGGTTGTCCAATATACACTTTACATGGCTGCACCAAAACTGCACTCGTTCCAACTCATTTCAGTTAGGGGAACATGTCATTAGCTCACCAACGACAGTTTCAATTCTTGGATTTTGAAACTTTTTTTCTGCTAATGATGCTTAAAAAAGAACACCACCTAAATTAGGAAAGGTCTCGGAAAGTTAATTCCATATTTGTGAGATCAAGCTTCTCTCTTTCAAAGCGGTGAACCAGAGAAGGAAGTCTCAAACTTCTGGAGCAGCTCCATAAAGAAGTGAATGTGAGACAGATATATTTTTGGACTGTCTAAGACCGTATGAGTAACATGTATGAACTATGAAAATGTGCGTACTTCCCCTTTAAATTGGGCAACCACGTATTCATTAGCAGCTGCCATACTTACAGGCTTCTGATTGCCAGAAATAAAGGTTATCAGCGCAAATGGGCTTTTTTACTTTTGGACACACAATCATCACGCCCACGCTGGGTGCATGAACCCAAATTGGCTCCTCACACCTTCTACGTCTGCCTTCTATTTTTAGGCAGAGGGCAGAAACATGTGTCATGAAATAGTTGAGAGAAAGGTTTTCTCAATTCTCTGTTCTCTTTGCAAAGAAAGAGACGGTCAGCAGTGTAGTTAAAATCTGATTGGAGGACTAAAACTAGCATTCTGCACAGAGATTATAAAACCAGTCGGTGTGCCCTTGGCCAAAGCTCCAAAACCCCCTCGTAATGAACTGCACTGTAGCTGCACAAAGCTGCCGAAAGAACACGTTACTATTAAAGAGTACACAAGTGCCTCCGTAGATACTCGCACCTTCGTCTTGACATGTAGTAAACACAAAATAATAGCTGTCTGCATAACGTGCACAACGTATACACACACACACACACACACACAAAGCCTCCGCTCGCCTTCAGGCTGTCCGTCAAACGCCGTCTGGCTTCATAATGACATGCTAATAAGGCGCTAAAAAAGAAATAGGCTAACAAGCTTTGCAATTAAAATTACCGAAAAATTCCTCTCCTCTTCACTCCTGCCTCTCCGCCGCTTCCTCCCGGGGGGGGGGGGGGGGGTGTTTTGTCAGCCTCACTCGGCTTGAGTAGTTTCCATAATGGAGGCAGGCACATCAAGAAAGTGTCAGTTTAGAAGTGTGTGTGCACATCAGAGGGAGAACGTGTGTCTCATTTTTTTTTTTTTTTGTTTCATCACCAATAATGTTCCTAATGTGGAGCGCTGTGTCAGACTGTTAAAACTCCCTCAAGGGCTTTCTACACACACACACACACACACACACAAAGCTGCACACCGTCCTCCTCCTTCTCCTCCTCAACGTCCTTTTTTTCCCGTT